AAAGGATGGTAACTTTCGAGCTTTTTTGTTGATATATTTTTTCTGTGTGAACAATCTTTGAAATTTAACTTTCTTATGAGAGTAATTTGGTTTTTCTTGCAAATTTAAACACTACTATAAAATATATAAATAGATTTACTTCAGACACTCTGATATCTTAGACAAGTCATAAAATACATCACATATGATGCAATTTTTGTTTTGAAACATATTTATTAATGATGTAACGATCAATTTGGTTTTTTTGCGACGTTTATATTAATATATCAAACATTACACAAAGTATAGATCAGTATTTTAAAGTAAGAATATGACGTAATGTTTATTAAACGAAAGGTCTAGTTCATTTTAACAATATTGAATAAACTCTCATTGACTATGTAAACCTGTGTGCCTTCTTCTTCTGTATCATTCTACAGGCGAAACAGTCGATGTCATCATTTACATGATTGGAAGATGTTCTTCGTTTCTTGGTCGATTCACTTGAAATGGCTTTAAGAATCTATTTTTATTATTTCTTCCTGAAATCATTCATTGACCCATCGTATTTAGCTATATTTTTATGCAAGTCTGTTTTGTCCTTATATACCTTTCCATCATAAAATCTATAAATAATTCACAGATGAAAAGTATCAAGTATATCGACATAGTATGTTTATTAAACGGGAAGTAGAATCGTAGGAATATTTTGCATAATAGCAACAACAAAGAAAAGAAACATAGCCTATTTAATTCATTAAAATATCGTGAAACATTTATAGAATGTTAAACGTAACAAAATTTGTTTTAAACAGATAAAGTGATAATAATTAGATTAACTATGTGAAGTTTTAATATGCAAAATATTAGAGTAAACATGATAATTATTTGGAAAATATTGTTTATGCTTACTCAACGTAATTTCTTCAGAGCTTGTAAGAAGGAATAAATTTATTATTGAAATTATTAATAATCTTAAACTAGTCAATGTTCATCTTGTAAATCTAAGTTATGAGTCGATCTTTTATCAATAGTTGAAAAAAAAAAGTCTATTTGATTAAGTTTTGACAATGATGATTTGTTTTTTCTGCTTAAGTGAATTTTGTGTTATTCTATAGAGTGAAAATAATAAAAAATCGATTTCAAAGTAGTTAACTAGTCGTTCTACTTCTTCAATAGAATAATCAATTCTGACATTAATGAAATGTTTTTAAGATGTAAGATATTTCAAGTTAATTCGATAATCATTATTATGTTGATTCTCAATATTTATGTCGATAAAACATTTGTTTGAGTTGTGATAGTCAATGACAGATATTCATTTTAGTTCATACACATATATATAAATATTTTTGATTAATTCTGAAAGATATACAAGTATAATTTTTTAATGACTTTTACGCACTTCTTTTTAAATCTGGATATATGATGGCATTTAACATATAAAACAAAAGAAGAAGAAAAATCTAGGAATAGTTAACTGTCTGTCTTCCAATTTTTGGCAGCAAGTTGTCCAGCATGATAACCAGCCATATACCAAGCCATTAACATTGAATGAAAAGCATCTTGTTCATTTTTTGGTGGAGTTATTATGTTTATTGGCATTGGTGTAGGAATTCTCATTGTAGATGATTGTTTTACATCGATTTTTTTAGTTTTATGTTTATTATTTGTTTGAGAATTTTTTTCATTTTTATTTATTGATGAATCTTTTTTTGTTTTTTGAATTAGTACGAAGACGATTTTGAATTTGTCGACGAGCTCGATCATAAGCACGAATTAATTCAGTATCATCCCATATTTCTTCATGATTATCTGATGAACGATCAAATATTACTTCACCTATATTTGACATAATGAAAAAAAGTCTTTACTATTACTTTCATCATTACATGAAAAGCTTTTACAACCAATCACGATAAAATAGTAAATAATAAATGGTGACATCTATTTGTATTTATCGTGGGGTTGACGTCGATTCACCTTGCTTCTTAATACATTCGTACTTATATTACAAGACTACATTTTCTAATTGCTAGTTTGCTGTTGGTACATGAGACCATTGTCGAATTTCTTGAATTAGTTTCAAAGGCAAAAAAAAGGCACAGTCTGAGTTCATTCAAACTTTACGACAACTACGGGATGACAAAATGAGGGTAACCATGATAGATGAAGTCATTTATAGATTGATTGTATACAAAACTTAGCTAATAGATAGGTTTTTTTTTCTAAGCACATCTTGTCAAGTTATGTTTAGAAATACTACAATCAACTATTCTGTTAGATTTCATATGAAGAACTTATTAACTCATTGTTTGTTATTTTCTGCTCAAAAGAAACATTTAGAACAGTTTTGAATAGATATTACTGGCTTGCTTTTTTGGGCTGTTTTTTTTCAATTAGTTTTTATAGTAGTAAGGTGAGTACTAATTTTAAAAAATGATTTTTAACACAATACGAACCAAAAACTATCGGCGAGATCGATAATTCAGTAGTTAGTTTTCTAAGATAACATTTAATATCCTCGCAGTAGGTTAAGACTAACTGCATCAATATAAAAAGCTTTGTTAAGTTTCATCTTAGAGAACTAAAACATCTATTTTCAGAGAAAATTTATTAGACTAGATAAGTCAGTTCAAACAAAAAGACAATTCTTATTCATATACGAATTTGATGATACTTCATTTTAAGGTTTGTTATCTATTACTAAATTCTATAAGTTTCTATACAAGAGTAATCTTTACAAACATGTACAAATTTGCAACAGTAAACAACATACATGTACACTCATTCCATTGAACATACTATGTCTGTCAGTACTATGTAAACACTAACTAACAGAAAAGCACTACTCCAAATGATGATGCAAGATCCCATTTTTGCTTCATATATCAACATCATCATCATATAACTACAATAATTAGACAGATGAAAAACTAATATTTGATATATTAATTTTTTATTAATTTGTTGAATTCACTCTTCCAAATGAAAAAGACACTCATTCTCTGATATTAAACTTACGAAAAGTACGGTTTCTATACTATTACTAGAATCCATTGGGTTGTTCTTAATGTTTTATTTAGGTTTTCTCTGTCGGATAGCGAATATTTACTTTTGGTAGGGCAAACATCTAATACATAGTGCAATATTTTCGAATTCTGGAAGAGCGAACTCAATGTTGCATAAAACAGTAGTTAGTCTCGAGTTCGGTAAGACTTAGACTAAAATAGCTGTTAGCGCAATCTCTGGACGATTAAAATGTGAAAGGCGATGTAATTGTTGTTGCTAGCCATAGGAAAATTACTTTATTCTATCTATTCCGAGACATAATTCTTCGTCCTCTTTTTACTTAATCCTCCAAAAATACAATAACAAAGTAGTTCATATATTATAGGGATATGTTATTAATATACGATCACAGATCGTATATCAACAACATCTGATATAGGCTCTTGAGAGGAAGACTCCAAATTTTAACTCGTATATCTCAGCATTCCTTTTTTGATCATGTTTCATAAAATTTCGTTGCAATCAGAAATATTATTCGAGTCTGAAACAAGTTAAATACTTTCAAAATATTGATCGATAGTATTTGATATAATACTTTACAAAAAAAGTGATAAAATATTATTTATTAAAAAATCAAAAAAGAAAAAAAAATGCGAAATTAATAGACTGAATTAAGAGTTGATTTTGAAGGAAAAGGTAGTTCCAAATATGACATGATCTATATGTTTTTGTCACAACAAAAATTTCTACAAAGTGTACTAACTTCACAATGATAATTAAGACATGCCAAGACAATATCAAAACATTTTGTTTTTGTCATTGTACATGGTGATATATGTATCAATACATGCAAAGATGATATATTCAATGTAATAATATGTGCTGGTGCTTAATAAACATCTCTTGTTAAAAGTATAAAACAAACTAAGAAAATCAAAACGACATTCGTTGTGTTCATTTTCAACATAATTACTTTTTGTATATAATCGATAGTATTTGTTTGATAGTTAGACTAGATGTAAATATGTGGGTATTTATACTCAATTAATGAGTAATAAAGTTGCAGTCTTAATTTTATGCTATTGGTCTAGAATATTGTTGTATGAGACTTAATGGAAAGAACATGATGAAACTCAGTGATGTCATCACTTTGCATGAGCATATAATTTATGTATTTACGCACAGATGATCTCAAAAATAATTTGCATGTACTTTTCATAGTTATGCAAGTTTTTATTTTCAATTGATGTGTATCACTTATCTGTGAGTCGTTTAAAAGATAAATTCTCGAATATTTAATAATGAAAAGTTAAGAAGAAAAGATTATTTTCAAATCTGAAATATAAAATAGGTTCATAACAATCAGTTTTGGATAACTTAAAAATATATATTCGATCAATCAACTTGTATCTCGAATTATTTCTAGTGCTTGTTCAATAATTTTTCGAAGAAGAATAAAATGAAATTTATCAATTTTATCGAAAAATGGTTTTGATTTTAAAATATCTTGATCTTATTTTAATCGCAAACATAGAATAATGCCATTTAAACTACATTTATCACAATAATCAAAAACTCTGATTAGTTCTATTCATTTCAACTGAACATGACCGAATAGAAATAGTAAGTTGTGAGACATACACAAGTCAATGGTAAGAGTACGAAAACAACACAAATACTTACTAAAAAAATTAAGTTAATCATTATTTTTTTTCGTATACTTTAACGTATTCGAGTGATGAAATTGATTAATTTCCAGATAAATGCATTTTTGTTAAGTTTAGCTTAGAAAATCAAGATGATTATCTGCAGTGAATATATTAAGTTTGATATTGTATATTCACCAAGGGGGTTCGGCGGATTTCCAAGATTCCGAATCACTTGGAATACAATGAGAATTCTGGGAATCCCAGGAATTCTGGCAATCTTGGGAGTACAGAATTTGTCGATTTTCCCTTGTGTTGAAGGAAACAGAAACACCGACACATCACATCCAAACTCACAGATGAATGATGATACGATTGCAATTATCTACATTAAAGTGACTATGAGAAGATGAAAGAATTGCTAAGCAATTTTCTTTTTGAGACAACCAAAACTTCAAAACAAATGGTACCAAACCAAGAAACTGATAATATCTATAAAGAAAAATAAAGACGTCTTAAGTTTCATCAACATCACTGGGTACACGAAGATGAATAAGAAAAAGAAAACTTGAACAAGAATCGAAACATTGTGCAAACTTATTTGAGAGTACATAGAGTAAGCCAAAAGTTTTTCGTACGGTTTTCTTAAAAGTCATAACTTGAATGTAACTATTCTAATATAATGCTTTAACATATTTAGAAGTATATGCAAAATTTCGTTATAGTTACTAATTTCTTTCAGACTAATGATACAATATTTTCTATATAAATTTTGAATTCTCACAAAAATGATTTCAAAATTTGATTTTACGCAACTGGAAAATTGGTTTAACCTATAAGTAAAATTCATGCCTCACTATTTTAAGTAAGAGAAGTTCTTAATATCTTTAGGTAGTATACTCATTAATTTTTTTCATTAATTTCAACAGAGTAATATCACCATCAAAGATGCAGCTCACTCAAATCGCTCTCCAACTGTTATAACTGAAGAAATGCACAGTATTGTTTCATCAATAATTCAAGGCAATTCTCATTCAATAGACTAATAAATATAAGACATCACAGTTAAGGAAAATTTCGTCAGTCATTATTTCAATTCTTCTCGTCTGTATAAATTTCCATCACGTTGTTTGTGTTCGATGAGTATATTATCAATATTGTCGAATGAAAACAGTTCTGAATTCAATTGTGTCATCATTTCTGAAAGATATTGGAAGTCGACTTATTCTATCTTATATTTTGCATTAATACTAGTGATAGTGTATAGCTTTATCATTGTGACCAAAATAAAAATTGAATTTTTTTCAAGGAATCTTATTAAACTAAGCTAATGCTATTAGGATCTAGTAAGCAGAATTGAACATGTTAATAACTATCCAACATAGATCTTCAAAAGTATACAACAATGAAATAAAAGATTCGCTTTGGAGATGTCAACTTTCACTATGAAAATACTAGATCATTGAAAGTTTTGATTACCAATGAATTTTTGATAGAACAATCATATTGAATTATGTCAAAATTCAGCATATTTTCTTGATCGAGACCTCGATGACTTCTTTTTTTCTTTCAAAACTAAATTTTCAACTGTATGGAATTAGATTCAACAAGCATAACATAATTTTATATGTGTTAGAGCAAACCATTAGTGTTCTCACACAAGAAGGCTTAAAATTTCACTTCCATAGCTCTTTTTAATAAATGCTGAAGTGCGTTATTTCTGAAGGACAGTGGGTTGTCAAAGCTACAACCGAAACCAGTATTCGATTGTTTGTCTCAGCGATGAGGAAAAAAAACTTTTGCAGTGTATCTTGACTATGGATGTGGTTCGAAGAAATGTCCATCTCAACACTCACATTCACATTCAATAGAAGTTCTTTATTAAAATCAGGTAAATCATTATTGTTCTCATAAATATCTTCATAGCGATCTTTTTTTTTTTATGAAAATCGCAAAAATGTTGATGTCGATAATTGAAA